AACGACCAGGCAACAAGCCACATGGGACTTCAGTTTTGAATTATAACTTATATCCATTCATTTCTACTAAACAGAATTTAAAAAACAATAGGCTGCAACACTAATGGAATAATAATGAAGGATGGACGTTTGACAGGGGAGCTCAGCCACAGTTGTTTTAGCCTGTTGTAATATAGATGCAAGACAGATGCATGCTGCTGGACTTCAACCATGGATACCACTGTTTCCTTCCAGTTTACATTTTAGTTGCACTGCATCATAAAACACTGGCTATGCAGCTTCTTTCAATTTTATAGAAGGGGAAATGCATTATGTACTAAATAAGAGCTTCACTGCCACTCTCTTTCTATAAAAAGGCAGACAAGTAAATCAGTCAGACTATGGGAGATTATCGCCACCATAAATACAACTAATAAGCTTTCACACTAACACCAAACATCTGTCTGTAGCCGCATTTTAAAAATACACATGCAGACCAACGCTAAGGCTCAGTTATCAACATGTGGACAGAGTATGAATAATTACACATCTTTTGATTTGTTATTTTTTTCCTCCAGTTATGCTGGCTAAATTTACAGCCAAATGATTTGTGGTGTACTATACCACAATGGATAAAAACACTTTGGTCCCCTATCATCCATTTTGGTTGTTTTGTTCATGAGATGAATACCTAACAACTGAGAGTCAGGCACAAATACACCTTTGTTTGACTTCTAAAATCGTAAGAGTTGTGTTTGAATCCTGGTTAATTGAAACACCCATAGAATTCACACCTCAGCAGGTACGGAGCCTTTTTACCTGCTGTGAGGGTCAATGTGCCGCTTTTAATTACCACCCTGTACTCATAACCTTGTCTGCAACATCCTGATTGTTATCCAACGTACTTGATGTGTCTGTAATCCTCGAGTGTGATCAGTGAAATGGTCCAAATTGCCATGTGGACCTACTTCAAATAATGCAAGATGTCCTTAGACAAAATAACGTCCTTGAGCTGACAGCCCTTAATTTTTGCAATGTTTTGTTTCTTTGTTAAAACAGTGCAACGAATCCAGAAAAACTGAGAAACATCTGGCAGGATTTGGGAAACATCAAGGAGCTCGAGGCTGTGGCTAATAATTAACTATAGGTGCTAGACAGTACAATGTCAAGTCAGGATAAAAAAAATAAAATAAAAAAAACAAACACTGCAATCTACAGTAAACTGCTAGCTGCATATACTTGCAACTTACAATTTAAGAAGACAGACAATATAGCTGTATTTCGAAAGAGCCGAGCCACTGCAACTGCGCCACTATTGATGTTGACATTTGTGGGGGTGTTTTTAGGCCCCATCTACATTACTCCGTTTTAGTTTACAAACAGAGAATGACATTACATTTACTCATTTGGCAGATGCTTTTATCCAAAGTGACTTACATTTGAGGAACAACATACAAGCATCAACAGAGCATCAAATGCAGATCTACAACTGACAATACATACTAGTAAGAGCAGCAATAAGTACTAGTAAGAGCTCATAGTACATATCACATCAATGGGATAAACACCTAGGGAAGGAAGTAAGTAAAAAAAAAAGTGCAATAAAAACAAGATAATTGTTAGTAGATAGAAGAAGAAGAGCACAGGAAGTGCATGTTAGAGGTTAGGAGTTAGAGGTGTTATAAGAGGAAGTGTTCTCGGAAGTGATGAGTTTTCAAATGCTTCTTGAGGTTAGAGAGGGACGCCCCTGCTCTGATGGCGCGTGGTAGCTTGTTCCACCATCGTGGTGTCACAGATGAGAATAGTCGGGACTGGGATTGATTTGTGATGGCAGAGCAGAGCCACGTTCGTTGGAGGAGCGTAGCGGCCAAGAAGTTTGTATTATGGAGTTTAGGTAGATGGGTGCAGACCCAGTAGTCACTCTGTATGCAAGAATTAGTGATTTGAATCTGATTCTGGAGGCCACGGGGAGCCAGTGGAGGTCACTGAGTAATGGAGAGTACGATCTCCGTTGTCTCCACACCAGCGTTTTAGCTGCGTATCAGAATTGATCTCCGTCTACATTAAAACGACTGAAAACGCACATCTATTGGCTGTTCAGGTACACTGGCCATGCGCGTGCTGGTGTAAACATGAAGCAGAAGGTCTCTTCCATAGTTAGCCTACAGAAGATTTGGCGAAAGAATAAAGAAATGCAGACAAAGAATCAGACTAGATTTTTTTTGCATGCACCAATAACGTGCTGGGACTGTTACTGAATGTAACACGGGAGTGTGGCGGGGGAAAACAGACTGGGAGTTGTTGCAAAGTAAACGATTACATGCACAGTAGCCTACAAGTGTAGGCAGATAGGCCTAAGTGTTATTTGCACGTACAGACTATTTTAATAAAAATACCAACTCAAAAACTCTGTTAGTAGCATCGTGTTTCTGCTTTGCATGACCCAATCAGAGAGCCGAGCGTGAGGGTCTGCATGATCGTTTTTGCCGTCTTCACTAAAACGAGTTTCGAAACCCAAAACGGGGTCGGCAGCGTTTCCAAACTTGAAATTTAAATTTTGTTCAGGTTTGTCCCTCTCAGAATGAACTGTTATTTTCTTCTAGCGCCATCATCAGTTTACAATTACGATCTGTCCAATACTTTGGTTTATTACCAAATACCTGCCATACTACATTCTCATCAGCCTCAGCTAACAAATGTTAGAATGCGAACATGCTAAACCATCCTGCTCTAGCATTTAGCTTACAGCACCACTGTGTCCAAGTACAACCTCACACAGACTCTAGCGTCGCTGCGGACTCTTAAGTCTTGTTTAACCAATATTTGTCCGGGGTTGTTTGCCCAAGAGCACTTAATCACTGGCAATGCCCAAGAGATGTATAACAATGTTGCTTTTTCACTTGTCACGCCCAGATTTATCTTGCTGGTCGGGGAAATGAACAGTTAACCAAAACTAAAATGCACATTTCTAGAAAGAGCCAAGACAGCACCACCTGCAGCCACTAGATCTTCACCTTTGAACACTGGACTTGATACAAATGGAAATATATTTGTGTTACATTTGTTGCTAAATCACCAGGAAAACAAGCAACAATCCCCTCTGTTAGCTAATGACAGTTTGCTGCCATCGGTGTAGAGAGAGAGAAAAGCAGAGGGGAGAGAGAGAAAGTGGATGGCAGATGAGACCATGTCCTTCCTCCTCATCTGAAAACAATAAGACAACAAGAGAGTGGGAATTAAAAGACTAGAGCCGTCTAATCTAGAACAACAGAGGAATGTCAGGGAGATGCCACAGCACCCTTTTATCCCAGATGTGTGCTATTAGGTCCACGGGCCCGATCCCTGCGCCAGACTCTGCTGGATCGTATTTCTTCCTCTGCTAATGCCACCGGACATACGATCTGACAATGATAATGATAATTACTTCAAATGACATGCCTTCCATTGTGGAAGAAGTGGAAAACACACAGGCACGCACACACAAACTAAAACAAGACAATATACGCTGAGCTTTAAAGAGAAATTACTGTTGGCTTTCTCACCAATTTGGAAAAAGTTTACGACACAGCTCTGTACATTCCTCTGCACTATTTAAATGTTTCACAGCTTCTTGCGCTGTTTGTGTAAGAGGAAGAAAATCTGCAACAATAGAGAGGTCACAACCACAACTTGGTTTTGGAAGGAAAACAGAAACCGCTGCCAAGTTTGGTTTTAATGTTTGGGAATATCTGTATGAAGTTCATCATTAATTTAATGCAGAGTTAAAAACAAGAGCCAGGCACCATCTTCAGTATAATAGTTCTATTTCTGATGAGGGCCTAAGAATAAGAGAAAGTAATCTGTGTTTTTGTTCTCTACAATTCTAACGGTATTGATGGCATTTCCACAACACACAGCTTTCAAAATATTATTTTGCAGTTGGAGTCTATTTTCAGGTTTTATTGGACCCTTAAAAACACAGAACACATGATGAGCATTTCACCCTGGACATGATTTCTCCCATCTCCGTGAGTTACACCAAATCTGAGAGGCTTGATATCCTTGGATGGAAGCAAGCATAAACCTCTGATGAAGCTGAGGATGTGTGATATTTTAAGATGTTATCTAGCAACATGAAGACATGAAGAAATACAAGTCCTTTTTTAGCCACGGGGAGCAGAGCGAGGTGGACATTCAAGAGTCTCTTATCATTCTCCTCATCTTCATACTTGCTCCCTGTTCTGTTCTGTTTCCATCTGTAACTTTGTTTTCAGTGTTCGGGACAGAAAGTAAGTCTGTAGATGTATTTTTGGGGATGTTTGCACAGGAATAATGCCACTTCAATAATGTAATTAAGCAGAAATATTAATCAATGCTTGGTTTGATTTAAAGGAATGAGAAAATAGTGTGATTGGTGTCCTCTATCTCACAACTGTTCTTGTTGTTAATGCTGCTGTTCACAATTGTTAGCACTTTTTCCGTAATATTGTGTCAAACAAAATCACCCCATGTGGGATTTCTCCCTTTCCCCCCCCATTTTAATAAAACATATAGGTGCATCTCAAAAATCTGAATATCGTGAAGAAGTGCATTGTTAGTACCAGAACCAGCCAGAGTTTCTGTATTATAAATTATTTATTCTTAAATTCCAATTGTTTTGAGATTTGTGATTTCCATGAGCTGTAAGCCGTAATTGTTTGAAACAGTCATGATTGAAATACTTCACTTTATGTGTATTGAATCTAGAATATATGAGTGTTTCACTTTTTGAATTAATTCAGAGAAGAAAATAAACTTACCCACAAATGTTTGAGACACACCTGTATAAACATTTTGGAAATGGTTTCCTCCATACAGCCTTTCACTTGCTCCACCACATGCCATCATCAGAAACTCTGGTTTTTACCATGTTTATGTTGTAATTCATTTGCCATAAACAAAAGCTCCTAAACAGAGTTGTATATTCAAACGCAAAGTCACAATAAAAAACAGGTGAATTCTGCCAGAAACGGCACTGACCCCAACACATGAACAGCCGTGAGTCTGTTAATAACACTACAAGGAGATCTATTTATTTTAACCATGATCATTCCTTAACCTTAACCAAGTGGTTATAATTGTAACCACGACGACAAAGATCCCCTAACCTCATTTCAACACACATCACAATGTTTCTCTAAACCTAACCAAATCTTAACCACCAGTGTTGTCACATTATAAAACTGATTCATCTTTCAACAGCGATGTGTAACAATGTCATCCTGTCAACAACATATTTTGTTGTTTAATTTGGAGGAATTTGGTGGGAGGTCTCATAACGGGAGGCTAAGAAAAGCAGAAGTTACTACGAAAAGTCTTCTTGTTCAAGAGTTCATGTGCTGAAGTTTGACTGTGATGTTCACAATACATTAATATTAACAGACGGCGGGATGGTAAAAAGGCTTACTCTGAAAACTAACTTGATAGGCCATAAGAATAATCTCGATGCTTAACTAACATGTACATTACAACATGATGTTATCCAGAGTATTCACACTCTGCAGGTACATATACCTATCAATAAGGAACCCTGAACCTTGGACATTTTGTTAGCATCAAAAAAAAAACTCAGGAAGCTTCCTTCTTCTACACCACTGCTTCTGAAAGAGGAAAGCTGTTAACGTCAGTCTACAAGTGTTAATTAGAAGTAGCACATGCTGGAATTTTTTTTTTTTTATAGGGTCCAATCTCTCCCTCTTGGCATTATAAAATTCACAAGTGTGTCAACACAGCACAGAAAACCAGACTAAACAATGCAGGGAATCCATAGATAATGGCAGGCCAACGTAATAAAAAATAACTAAATGATAAGTTGCATCAGCCTGTGCTTATTAGAAACAGGCAGCTTGTTTTTAGCTGATGTAAAATGCCCCTTTTCGCACCTGTAATCCCCCTCTCTTCTCACCTGTAGGACATTTTTTCTTCATCCTGCACCTCTGTGTCTCGCTGTGTAACGGGCAAATAGATGCTTCTTTCTCTTCAGGTGTTCTCCCGGAATGCCCACCCCCCCGGGTCCTGGTCTGCTTGCCCCACCTGAAGCCGCAGGTGACGCCATCACGGAGACAGACACTCCAGTCGCTCCACTCTCCCAATGAAGCCTGGGTACAATCCTCTAAGAGACAAGAGGATTGGACAGAGAATAGACATCAGACACAAAAGAAAACGTATATTTCAAACCTTTTTAAGATTTTACTTTACAAAACCAGATATCTGAAAAGTAGACAATATCGGAATAAGACGCAATTTTTTAATTTTAAAAGTCAATGTTTGGAATTTTTTTTTTTCCCCCCGTCCTTCCTTTTCAAAAACACACAGTATAAACAAAGATTATCCATAACATTTGTTATGTGTAGTTATGAGAGCTCACCAAGACATCAAAATGCAGTTTAAATTTTTTTTTTTTATTGTTAAAAATACTATTCTGGACAAACGTACAGCTGACTGGACAAACTATGCAACAACAAGATGTATAACATGATTGAAGGATCTGTCTCTGTTTTGTTTTTTTAAATTGTCATTTGCTGTTACCGATTTATCTGCAGTCAGCTCACATTGGCCGATGATACTGACATGCCAATTTATCAGCCGGGCTCTAGTTGAAAGTAGTCAGTGTTTTATTTTTTATTATATGCCTGACTATATAAAGACAGAAATACCAGGACTGAGATAATTAAGATAAATCAATAAATTACAACCATAACCCACGGAGTGGTAGCAACATACATAGACTAATGTTTTGTTCAGACCCCTGGCTGGTAACCACAGTGCTATCACTTAAGATAGATGAATGCCAGCTGAAGCATTAATGCATTTCACTGGAATTGACCGTTTGCTGATGAGTGATGTCAGCCACAAAATCAGTCATTTTTCCATGCAGTCCACAACGGAAAACCCAGCAGCCTCGGCCAAGATGGGACTACATGTCTCGGTAATCATCATTATCATTGTCAGATTTTGCGTATAAAATGAATAGATTTCCAGTGACTCCTTCCTGGAGTTGCTTGAGGTGTGTACCAACAGTCAGACATGAAACCTTAACATCGCCATTAAAACCAGATGTGTTCACGATGCCAAGAAACCACAGTAGCTGCAGATGGTGCAGGTGGACGGCAGAGGGGGAATCTGGAGTCCCAAACATTGCCGAACAATGATTGAGTTCAACAATATGTCTCACTTAGAAAGATGATGATGATACACAACGAGATATAGAATTCCTAAACTTCTTAAAGACTTAGATCAAACAGAGAACTAGACAAGGAGAAAGAAATGTAGTAGATGAGGTACGATTATTTCAAGATTTGTTTTCCTATTTCATGGTCTTCACTGAAACAAAGTATAGTTTACTGAAACAGGTGAAATTGATCAAAAGTCACAAATTTTTGACTAAAGCTTAATGTTAGACCCCCTGCCCCCCAAAAACCACAACAATAAAGTACTTAAACATCCACACATGAAACACTGCAGAAAAGTGGCCAGAGATGAAAGGAAAGGAGTTTGCAGGAACACGTCTGCTGCCAATTAAACCTTTCAGATTAGCTTCACGGATGTATCCATTGCAGAGCGGACCTGTGTTTTGTAGCTGGCTGGGGTCAATGCTCTTTTAGTTCACCCACTTACCTGTTTCTTAAAAAAGGCTCAGTAATTTCCTAAAGCAGCTGGACACAGTAGCTCTAACAAAACGCTAATCAAACAGAAGCAAGCAGTGCATTTGTTGGGGACTATTTTCAGTAGCGGATTAATCCACATGTGGTGAGAATTTGGGGCAGCAGGACAGTGTATGTGGGATTAAGTTCAGGAGTTTACAACCAAAGTGAGACATCAGGGGTTCATCCCCCCACCACCTTAACCTTGCAGCGTTGACCATTAATGACAATAACAGCGACTCAATGATAACAGTATTGTATTGAGAGATGACTTCTAAATGTAATTATGTCCGATTTCTTTTTTTCATAGCAAGATCACAAACTTGTTCTCTGGCCTGTCTGGCTTCACTGAATATCTCTAAAAATACGCCCTCTTATTGTCTGCGTTGGCAAAAAAAAACAAAAAAAAGAAGTGGTACAGTTGATTTATGTGGAAAAGGATAATAAATAAAAGGTCATATACTACTTATATTTGTTTGAAGTAAGTTCTATAAATATTAAACACTGTAACTGTACTTACCGAGGCAGTCTGTCTGGTGGGCGATGGTTCCCTCTGGGCAGCGGGTCAGACACTTGCCTTTGTACAGCTGGAAGCCAGACTTACACTTAGTGCAGAAGTCCCGGCTGAAACAGTGCTCACAGTCCAACGAGCGACACTCTGAGAGGAGGAAGACCATCACACATCAGGTGAACAATCAATTTGGGAGAATCCGGGAAGAAACTAGACGCTTTTTCATCAAGTCATCCAGATTTTCACTTTAGTTATGACAGTGAGATGCAGGTGGGCATGTTTAAACAAACTGGAGTCCAAACGGTGCAGCGCTGCAGAAAACCACAGAAAGGCCCCATGAAATGGCATCATTACTTCCTTAATGTGATGTATTTCCTGTTTAAACAGGATGTTGGCGCGGGACATAAGTTTAATCTATAGAATGTCAATTTTAAAGGCGGGGTTTTTCATAAAATTGTGATGGTTTTATTGGTTGGAAGTAGCTGATTTAACTTAACCATACTTTACATACAGAGGTGGTAAAATAGAAACTAGAAACAAATGTGCTACTTTGATTACTCGCCTACACAGCCTTCAATTTAAGTCATCCTAGCATGTTGTTTTGTGTACGTGTGTGTGTAAACTTGCACTGTGCTGGTTGAGTTTTGAGTGGACCTCAACTGTTTTCCAGGAAGCTCAAGTCTTAAAAGCTTCTTATATGAATATGTACACAGACTTTGTGGTTAGAGGTTGACTCTAAAGAAACTTATGAACTCTAAGGACTTATTTGCATCTCTTTAGTCAAATTTCTTATTGACTAAGACAAAGATATGTATTTTTTTTCCCTTTTATTGTTACAGTGTGTTTATAAATTAATTAAACAAGGTGCATCTCAATAAAAGGAGCTAATCCAAAATGTATAAACTGTGCATTTGGGTACTGTCTGTTAGTGAACATGTAAACTAAAAAATTATAATTTCCTTAACTACTTTAGGCCTCAATGTAAATGAGTCATGTGTGCTAATGTGAGTGGGACACAATATCAGCAAAGAGATATCTGCAGGTGAAACAACCCTTTTTGTAAAAACATACTCATGCAGCGGTTGATGTCCTTCCCTCTCTGTCCGTAGTGTCCCGTGGGGCAGGCGTGGAGACAGGTTCCATGGTGAGACATCCCCGCCCTCTCCAGGAACAGGAAGAGTCGCTCTGGGCAACGCACACAGCCATTGTCACTGGAACACTCCAGACAGCTCCGACAGGGGTCCTCGGGTGTCTCCCTGGGAGCTGCAGGAGACAACAGAGGGTAAGACGTAAGACAGGAGAAATTAATCCAGTTAAATTGAGGGGGGAAAAAAAATCAAAATACAAGTAGAGGAGTGCAAGAAAAAAAGAGAAATAGACTTATAGCAAGGGTGGTGGGTAGCATTAGGATGGAAAGAAGATGACACAAATCCTCAAGATACAGAGAGAATTTCTGAAAATCCACCACTGGTCTCCTTGAAATACAGATTAGGTCACATGTAGCCACAGTATATCCCACTTTTAACTGTCAACACTAGACTGTTCATCTGATTTTTCTCTGGACATTCAAGAAATTGAAATGTAATATTAAATTAATTGAAATGAATCATTCTATAGTTGTCTATAGAAATGACTAGCTGAGTGTTTTTAAATAAAAAGAGGTGAGTAGTAAAGAGTAAAGAGCAGAGTGTGAGAGCAGGTGTCACTATTTTAAAAGCTGTGATGAAGCACAAGTAATTCTTCAATTTTAAGATTTTTATTGATTTTGTCATTTGAAAGTTTATTCACTTCAACTGTTTTGAAAGGGGATTAATGAGCAGAGCTTCTAACTGCTAAAGAAATGTAATACATTTATTTTCCAAAATGGGTACCATTTAAAATATGCTGACAAAAAGCTTGATGGAAACAACATCTTGCGGTGCTTCTGCTTTATTAAGAGAATTCCACCCACAAACTGGACTTTTGATATTCTAGAGACCCTATATGATGAATCTCAGATTCATTTCATATCATTTTGGAACACAGTTTGTTTTCTATTCTACCAAAATAAAGGCCATGCACGTAAATTTCAAATTTCCTCTTTAATTGTCGAATAAGTGGCACTTTCATCTATAGATCTTTGCTCACAAATTCAGTCTAAATTTAATAGAGAATCATTCTTTTTTAAATGTTGACAAAGAAATCTTAGGTAGCAGATTTGCTTTCCAAATTGTTGGGAAATAAGATTAAAAGAAACTGTTGCTTTTTTTTTTTTTTCCTGTATGACTTTCTCACAATGCTGCTAAACTGACAATATAACTCTCGCTGTTATATATGTAGATACATGTAGAGTACATAGGGAGCAGAATGCACAGTATGCTACTGTCCGTCAGTCCTGTACCTTGTGCGTCAGCATGTACTCGTGTTTCTTCATGAGTTTGTGATGTATAAACCTATTAAATAAACTGAGGAAAATAATAAAGTGCACTGTTTTCTTCTGGCACACAACGTGAGTTCAGTCGTGATTTGTGCAGCTCACTGGCGATAGATTTCACATCTTTGTAGCATGACAGTTAGGCTTGTGTCTAAGCCAAAGTAAGTCTTATTATAACAGTGAGCAGCGTTGTCTGCTCCCAGATACACACAAGACTCAACAGACAAAGTAGGAATGCTTCCAATCCGACGGGGTTAAGGAGGATATATATGGAAAGACGGGCAAGGTGGGATGGAAAGACGGATGGAATGAAGTGAGGAGGGATGGAAAGATAGGCAGAATTTACGGAGGAGGTGAAGGGCAGGCATTGAGAGTGTGTGAGTCTGAACAATCGCAGAGTCTGATCCTCACAAAATACCTGTGGCCAACTGCCGATGTCCTTGATGAGTGTGCGTGCGTTTACTCAAGTAATGTGCTTAAGTAATTTGAGGTACTTGTACTTTGCTTATTTTAGTAAAATTATGTGGTGTGCTCCTACGCATGTGGTAAAATATTAGTAAAAAAAAATAAGGATTTGTCAAATTAAATATAAAAAGGATAGAAAGATAAAAAAAAAAAAGAATCAATGAAGTAAAAAGTACATATGTCTCAATAGCAAATATGAAGAGGATAAACTATAACAATGAGTCTTAGGAGAGTACTGCCATTAAAAAAGTTATTTTTTCATGTATACAAATGTAAGCCTGTGATGGAGTACCATTACTACAGTTCTGTTGAGGATGTGCTCCGACTGCCCTACCAACAAGCGTGGCTCTTTGGCATTATGATAAGTTGCATGTTTGGTACCCTGTAGACCCAAGTTTGAATCCGGGTGAGGTGACTGCTCTTCTCCCTTTGTTACAAAGTTTTAATCTACAAAAGATTCAGACTTGGCATGACAAAAATAATTGTTAATTGAAGCAATTCATAAAGGAAATATGTAGAAAACCCACATGCATGTCTGATAGAAGACATTTACAATGTTTTCTAGGAATTAGAACTATTTTAAAGGATTTATCAGTGGAAATCCTGCTAAAAACGCTGAAAATACTAACAACAGGCGCTAAGGAGCCCTGTAACCCAGCACTTAAACCCAGTGAGTTCAGTTTAGCAGCTCACTGGCACGGATACTTTTTTTCTGGCAGCTCCTTGGTGCGAATGTAATTCATCAAATAAATACATCTGTATGACTTCTGTAAAACTGACATAAAGAGCCAGGACTTCTTTTTAGACCTGCCATTTTGCAGATGATCAATCTTACAAAGAGAATTCCTCCATAGATGAGGCAAAACTGCAGTTTCTCTGCCAACAGACTCAAAATTAAATTGACCTGAATACACCAGAATATAATGTCATAAGACATTTTTTATTGAGAATTCCACATTCTTGTTTTTTTCCAATTTTATTTCCAGCAGCATTTTTGCTTGTCAAAAGACAAGTTGGTATTGTAGTTATTTCACATAAATAATATCTGTTGAATAAAAAATTCAAGATGTTTAAGTCAGTAATTAGGTTGTAGTTTCTTGGCTTCTTCATGGATTCACCACCATAACGTCCTATGAATGATTGATTTCACTGGATGAGGATGAATGTATGATTTTAATCAATATGTACCAATGTGTTCTAAGGGGCAGGTATACGAAGAGTAACACAAAACAACTGAATTTACATTACAGATGGATAAATAGACTAAACGTTCATTCAAGAGAATGTGTTACGTCAAGTGCTACAGAGACTGTACAGTGACAAGTGAGTCAAAGATAAAAACCCTCCACAGCCAATTTGTCCCATTAGCAGTTGAAAGTCATGTGGAATTTCCCCTGGGAAAGATGCTACTAAATTCCCTACACGCACCCCTGGCATTAGTTAAATACACTACAAGAGGTCAAACTATAAATATGGTTGCAAACTGTAAAAATGATATAGCACTAAAAAGCAACAAACAAAAAGTGTACATTATGTTTGAATTCAAAAGTTGTTAAATGTTTATAAACCTAAATCATACTGAAAATTTACTATTAAGAAGTAGTTGACTGTGTACACAATTTCAGGTAAAATGAAAACTCCTGTGTTCATGAAAAAGTAGTCACAGAGACTTCTACATTGGCTCTTCTAATAGCACAAGAAGTATGTTTGTTAAGAGGAAGAATAGGTCATTAACTTAAACTCAAGCTGCATAATGATTTAGAGGCTGGATCCTCAGAAGGACATGGCCTGTGGAGGTGTTACCTTTAGAGGAGTTCAAATGAGCTGATCAAGAGACAAGTCTACTGCCATATTTGGTTTGACAAAGAGAAAGTTCAGTGAGTCTTGAGTTTACGGATGCTGTCCTAAGAAAAACAGCATCAATTGCTTCAGCAAATGTCCAAAAGTGCCGTATATTTATGTTGTGAACTGACGCCTTCTAGCAGCTACAATAATTGTGACTCTTGTAAGTCAGGAGCAAAGGAGGAAGTAGGGTGATGTTGTTATAGAGCCAAAAAGTCAACAGAGGGAGAAGGGTCAGGGTGTCAGTTACATTTGTTACTTAACTTTAAGGACTTGCGGCCCTTGGTGGGCAACTTATTTCCCAAAAATAACCTGTAATGTCTGTAATGTGTTGTTATTAATAATGTGTCCAGCCTGCAGTGGAGTTTATTATTGACATTTTGGAGTGACTTTTTCATTAGTCCACTTTATGTAATCGTGATCACCTGCACACAGGGAGTAGTGCTAGGTACTTATAACATAGAAATCACTGTATCTGAGCTTTAACTTAAACCTGCTGCAGATTATGGTCATAAAGTTCAGTATAAGGTCAGATTTCTACAGCTCAGATCGTTTTATCAAATGTCAAATCTTTTACCAGTATGTTCTTTTGAAGACAAACCTATAATCAAAAGTGTTCCTCAATTCATTTTAATGCCAGAAACCAGGTTACTGGTTATCTGACAAACGTAACAACCAGTTGTTGTTAATTAAAAGTTGTTAATTATACTTGTATGGACTACAGGAAACAATTTGCCAGTGATGAATAAGTCACAGCAATGGTGTCAAGATCAAAAGTTAATTGTCCCTTGAGGGAAATTTGTCTTGAGCAACAGTGCCAAGCAAGAGAGTAACTGTATACTAATGTCAGAATCACACATGAATACAGCCTAATCTTTACATTTAACATGGTATGACACAAGTAGATAAGCACCGAGATATTTCAGTAATTGTTGAGTGAAATTAGAGTAATGTTAAAAACAACAAGGATAAACCCTAAGTGATTCTCTGCAATTGCACTGGATGCAATAAAATAAAGCAAACAAAAAACTAGCAACAAATGCAGGTTATAAATAAATAACCAATTTAAGACCAAGGTAGATACAATTTGCAAACTAATTTCAAACCAGATAAAATACTAGGAATAACTATAAAAGTGCCAGAAGTGATTCAAGACATTTTTTTTCTTTTTTGAGCAGATTGTTTCTTAAGAAGAGCTATGGAAGTAGGGATGAACAGGATAGCTTGTAGCATTATGGCTGCAGTTTAGCTAAACCTGTGCTTGTTTTGACAGAAATCTGGTTCAATTACTCCCCACAGTGAGTTATGACATATTTGGTCTAAATATGAATGAGTAAACTATGAAGCGGCCAAGCCATGTTGTAGGACACACCTTCAGGAACTTCAGAAAAGCAAATACATGGTAAAAGGGCCATCACAGTATACTCTACTACACTGTTGGAATGACAGGCGCTATCTGGGACATGATGCAGTGCAGAAAAACCAAAGCACCAAAGAATGGAGACAAAAACAAGCAATAGGTGAAGAAGCCAAGGTGACATTGTTGTGTGTGACAATTACAGTGACCAATTTTGTCACACTTACAGACTCTTTCTGGGCCTCCAAACCCAAATTTTAAGTGATTCTCTTGTCAATCAGTCATTGTTCTGTGCTGGTTTAAGTAGCACTTAACAATGACCTTTGGCCTTGCACATGTTATGGATATGTTTTCAAGTAATCTCAGTTTAGCAGAGTTGAGAAGAGTAATTAATAGTCAAGAATAGAGGTGAGAAGTAAAGAAGAGTCCAGTGTAAGACAACAAATATCCCCAGAATAACCTAGGGTCCCATTTCACTGAGCTTTTGGGACCTCACTTTGAGGTCTCGACCCGCTGTCTGAAAAACCGTTCTCTACACATATGCTATCGATCTGCAGGCTTAAGGGAGTTTTAGAGGCGCGGCAGGTTTAGGTAGCGTAAAACGGTGACCTTTCACCTTGTATGGGATTGCACTGGGATTTTAACAAGAACCAGGTGTAACAAGCTCCATTGGGGTCTCAAGGAAACATGCTAGTGTTTAAAAGGGGCATTCCACCCTAAAACTGAATTCACATAAAATGGTGAAGGTAAGTAGTGTTAATAAAAAGATGGTTTAACAAAGATTGAATAGAGGCAATAAAGTGATTTCCTCTCATGGTTTGATGGACACACGACCAAGTTATGATAGCAAAACAAAAAAAGCCAAATATATCCTGTAAAGATTTGTTTTGCCCAAGACAAAGTAAGAAAATGTTAAGACAGAAAAATAATTTTGAGTTTTACCCTCAACGCCGGATAGCTTGACCTTTAGTGAAGTAGCATGCAGACCTTTAAAATGCTAATCTTGTACACACACCACTGATAAACCGGGCTTTTTCTATCCAAGTCTAATCTTTATAGTGTTTGTAAAATGTAAACACATTTATTACATAAACATTTACAATTATGTTCATTTTATGTACAGTAGATCAGTATGATGCTGTTTTATCATCACCACATCATGCTATTATATTAGATATCAGCCTATGAAGTTGGGTAAACTTCATGTTGTCGATAAAAAGCTCACAAAGGTAAAGGTGAGTTCAGGTGGGATTATCTTTCACTGCCTCACTAGAAGAAATATCAAAATTCTATTTTGTGTGCGATTTCCCGGTAACATACAGCAGCTGCCGCTTCTGTAGATCAAGCCAATATACCCACAATGCACCATAATGTGTACATTAACAAGAAAAACGTGCCAGGTGGCGTGACGTGTTAAAACACCACAAGATGTTCTGCTCCTAATGACACATGTGTGGAGGTCCAGGCAATTGATACTTGACTTAAAGATGTGTTGTTACTGAACACCTTTTTCACCACGTGATTTCTAATATTTCTCTAGAGAGATTTGAAGGTGTCACATCTTCATTGCACACATTAAGTGATGGTTTAGCTGCTTTCATTCTTGCACTTCTACTGACACACGGATTGATCTATGGTTAAGAGGTTATGTCTGTGACACCAAATCAATCAACTGCAATGCCCCTTATTTCCTGTCATTATCTGTATTGACCTGTCTAATGAAATTAAAATTAAAATCCCAAATGGGGACAATATTAGGAGTATTCAGACACTTCTCTCTGCAGTGTATGTGTATTTTTTTGAAGCTCCTTACGTTTGCCCGGATCTACTTGCAGGAGCAATTGTTTTCCTGTGATTGGTGATAACAAGATGTGTCCTTTAAAGAAAGAGAGCTCACCACTGTCATATACTATATGCTATGGTGAAGGCTTCATGCCAAAAGGACTTAGCAGATTTGTCAGCCTATGGATTATAAATAAAATTTACCCAGAAGCTCTGGTGGTAAATAAAAGGAAACTGTGTAACTGATGACATGACATGAATCCATCTGAGCTGATGCACAAACACAACCACACCTGCCACACTTGATTCCCCAGTTAGACAACATGTGCTTTGGGTGTTTGTGGGTATAAATGAGAACCGCAAAGCACATTGTTTTACTTTTGATATAAACAAGAAGATAAAAGCTCACCAAAATGCATTGCTGCAAAGTCCAAAATTTTCCACATCAAGCACAAACATGAGCACAGTCAAAATCTATGCTTCCAACTGCAGCAACACCTGTACCTGATTACTCTTCATCTTAAGTGTCTTTGTATTTGCACTCAGGGATGATTGCCCCACCTAGTGCTCAGAGGTGTAAATGCATGCATGCGTAGAGACAAATAACAAAATAAAAGCTCCTTCACAGTCATTCCGCTCAAAACTGTTAATCTCACCCGATACAGCCCACTATGTTGTGCCACTGAAATGGCTAAAAAATATTTGCTCCAAAGTGTTGTTACAGCATGTGTCTTCAAAATTTCAACATAAACATCAACAAAATGTACATTCTGAAGTTTTCCAATTCCTCTAGCAGAAATAAGCTGGTCACAACACTTTGATTCAGGGACAGATATGTCTGTGTTGTTTTTTAAATAATGCCCATGAGCTTTACATTTTCAACATTTAGACACTTCACTAAATACCAGAAATAATCCAATATGATTGTTAAATGGCATAATGTGACTGTAGGGTTAAATCTTAGTCATGCATTGTAATTTCTGGAGGGTTAAGTTGACATCTTCATTCATAGTGTAATGTGGATGAGACCACCATGTGCAAATGGAATATGTGCAAAACAGACTGACTTAAATCTGCCTGTGGAAACTCAACCAGGGAAGCATTTTATCTCAAATTATGACCTATTTTTTTCTCACTCCCTCTAAATTCTCAGCTGCTCGCAATTACCTACAGTAACCTTACAGAAACACAAATAGCACTAATGGACATAATAATGGGTTCAACCTCCTGACTTTTACGACTCATTTTTCCTGCTCTGAAACACTTCAAACATTTTCATTTGGACAGTGTGTCAAAAAAAGGAGGTGAGCGACACCAGTGCGAAGTGATGAATTCTGACAGTGGGTCAACCTGTCGTGCCCACAACCAGCATTTGATCCTTTAGACCTAAAAATGGTATCTAACTTCCAGCTGCCTTCATCCAAGACTCAATAGTTATTGTGACATTTTAGGCAGCAATAGTAATATGTTTATTTTACAACTTTGCACAATGGTCATGTTAAAAATGTATATTATAATTTTATATCCATATTTTCAACATTTGTCCAGTTCTCTTACATTGCCTGAAAGCTTGGCTGCATTGCCTCCTTTGCAATGCATAAGCAAGAATGCAATCAACATTACACATTAAAGACTTATCTCTGTTCTCTCTAGTATATTCTCAATTATAATTGAGCATGCAAATGTAGGCAAAATATTACTGTTTTTGTGCATTACTTCATTTAACATTTTCATGTATTCTTCTTTTGTAATTGCCAGTCTTACTATGATAAACCTGCTTTATTTGAAACAGTTTAATCTTGCTGTCACAAGCTGTTAACTTGAATGAGAGTCAGTGGTACTTGATGGCTCCATGCAGCCGCTCTAATCATTATCTAACACCTCACTTCTGGTCGTCTGACGGGGACTGTGTGGAAATGTTGGAAGCCAAAATGACAGTGTAATTGAGACCGGATCCCCATCCATTAGTCTTAAATTCTTGAGGAAATGCCAGACACTGGTGAGTGTGAGGGTCACCACATACCTGTGGCTGCAGTCAGGACTGCTTTAGGGTGGATTTTATAATGAGTCATTAGACATAAATATGGATTTGAGCAGAATCTCCAGCCACAGTGTAGTGTCTGCTTGTGCAGAGCTTAACAGGGTGACACTCACTGAAAACTGGGAGACAAAATATTAAAATCCCAGGAGGGAAAAACTTGATGTAAGAGTTATTGATGATCCAGATTTAAGTTCTTTCTGTAGCGTGACATGGAAGTCTTGATTTCTAGAATTGGAGCAGTTAAAGGAAAAGCTGTAATGACATGGCAAATATTGCTTGTTCCATGTCTACAGCAGCCACTGTAAATGGCTTGTTAAAGGGGCATTGAGCAAAACACCGAACGTCTTCCTTTTCATTTACTGTAATTTATCCTGGATTAGATCAGATTATTGGACATTGATATTGTTGATTCTTTTATTTTCATTTTTAAATCACATAACAACCTGGGAGATTAATGTAACAATGTGGCAAATGTTAATGCATTTTGTAAACTTTGCTGTTATGATGTCTCCTCAGCGTTAAAGTTATAGTTATTTAACATATTTTGGAAACATATCACATTGTGGAGTTCTAGTAAATCCATTTTATGACTGGATGTTGTCTGCTTGTTTACATTTAGTATAATATACAGAATCCTGTCAGTTATGTTTTGCTATCATGCACATCATGTGGAAAATCAGCTCAGTTACCACTGAAGAGTTTACAACAAGTGACTGGTAGAAAGGAAGACCCTCAAAATCCTCTTTAAGGTTGTTTTCCAAGTGTACTCACCACTTTGTTTCTGCATAACGCCCGACCCTATCCTGATCACCTCACATAGCAAGGATATCACAATGGCAAAGATTCGCAAATGCATCTGGGCTGCTGGCAAGCGCCCACTCAGCGGCAGGCTGCGGACATCTGCAAGGACTCCAGTGGTGGCAGGTTGAAGATTTTGTTCCAGTGCAAGGGACAGAAAGAAACAAGGAGGGGAAAAAGGGCAAAGTCAAGGGGTTTAAAAGATGATGGTATGGATGGAGAACAAGTTGAGAAGATAATCTTGCAGGCAAAAAGCAGCAATGAAAACGATGAGTGTAAAGGTGAGAGAAGAGTGGAGAGACAGAAGAGAAAATCCTCTTCTCCTTTGTCCTGTTTGACGCAGAAGATTTAGAGCTAAGATGAAGAGACGGGCGGCCATAAACAACAAAGAAGAGCACAGGAAACTCAGAAAGACCGGAGGTGAGGAGAGCCTCGTCTGCTTCCCCAGACTGGCAGCTTAGAGGGAAAACTCACCATTTAACTACCTCTGTCAAATTTGCGATAAACAAGCTCCACTTATCCCGTAGCCATCTTTAACCCTTTATAGGGTGTGCTCTCAGGGCCTAAGTGGTTCCATATTTCCAGCTTGATCTTTAGCCCCCCCCTCCTGGCTCTATCTATTGTTGTTCAGTCTCTTCTTTTTATTATCCGTCTTTTGCTTGTGCTGGGCATCATTGTTTTCTGTGGCAATCCTTTTAAATGAGGGCAGTCAGTAAACTTAATTTGACCACCCTGAAAGGAAGAAAAACAGCTAGGGAACATAATAGCTGAGAGTTTAAGCTTACCATGTTTATGCAATTTATTTGTTGTTGCCTGTTTGTGTGAGGAGTCAGGTATGTAGGAAATCTGCGATATTAGTCTGAAGTAGAGTGGTTAAACACTGGTTCAGTTGTGTGGTTATACATATAGTATATATGTGCATGAGTATAAGGCTTATAAACCTCTAATGTATATTGGATGACTTATAGTTTCTCAAGTCATCTTTTTCCAAGTTTTCAGGATTTTTCCAGCTTGATTACTGCCAAAATAAATATACACACCGGATGCATAAAATATTACATACATCTGCCTGATAATCCCCAAAAAAGCACTTTTCATCATCGTCATCATCATCATCATCATCATCATCATCTTGGCTGTCAGCCTACACCTGTAGAAGAGCCAAATTAATTTATTGTAAGGTATAAATTATTTCTCAACTGAATTTCCAGAAAATGTTTTAAGTCATGATATATGATGCAGTAATGATATAGAATGATATATAATGTGATCTCCAACCCTTTTGTAGCCATTCATGTAATAGCATGTCCCAATATCAGTTTGGATTATATTCCATGGCAAAATGTTTTCTTGTGTAGGAAGCGCTATGTGGTGGGCAAACAAAGTGTAGGACTGACACCAGAGTCCCAGGTTTGGATCCTGACTCTTGCATATTGTTACACAAAAGCAACAAAAGCACATGGATTAATTTTGGGAAGATTGTCATGCGGGTCTTATACTTTACTTTTCACTTTTCCTGACCTTGACAGAGAGCTGTGCCATAACCATAACCATATAATAGGTATTTTTCATGCTTCAGTTGCTACAAGCAGATATTGTATTCCAAGAGTGGTAAATGTGAATGAAATAAGTTGTTAGTGAAAATGTTGTTAATATGTTAAGTATCAACATTTTGTGACTTGGCAAGTATGTTAATTAACAACATTTCCTCATTTTGCTGACAAAAAAACGTAATCTGGGCGGCATTATATGTCTTTCAAAATGTTTTTGCAACAGCAGGCTTATATAAATGTAATTTCTTAGGAAACATATTTTGGTAAATGATATCACTTGAAAGCAAATGTTCTCATTATAAAAAATGATTGAATTATTGGTTTTCATCAACAAGCACATTCTCTTGAGAAACTAGTTCAGCAAGCATGAAGTACAGGCTGCAACATACAGTGAAATCTGTAAATACTCTCATCTGTATATTTATATATTGCATCTACAACATCAATAACACTTGTAGGATTAAAGTATTTTCTTTTAACTAAAAATACAATAAAAACAATCTAACCGGATCATTTGACTCCCTCAGATGTGGATTAGTTGCATGAAACATAATATATAATAAATAAAATGCTCCTTCTATTTAAATACATATGTACTGTATGTTTCAGTGTATTTGCTCTACAGGCCAAAAGTACACACCATGTGGTCGCAGTGTTGTGGCTTTGACTTTGACTCACAACCTTTGTTGCATGTTATCCTCTCATGTTTGTCCTGTCTCTCCATCCCCTTTATTCAGAACAACTTTAATGTTTAATGTCATGTCTCTATTTAGACTAATTTTCTTCTAAACTAAAACTGATTTACTGACTGACTCACTACATCCTTCATTACCAGATCAAAGATGCAGTTTTATGTACTAGAGAAAAACTTTTTAGAGTGTTTTTGTACACTCTAAAAAGTAAAATAACTTTGAGGAACCTTTTGGGTTCTTTGGATGGCACCAATAGGAGAATGCCATAGTTTCTTCATGGTGTTTTTATGAACTCAGCGGATACTTGCAAAAGGTTTCAATATTTATTTTTTGACATTTCTACTACTCAGAAGCTATATTGAACTGAGTATTGCCCTGATGAACTACAAGCTTTAAAAGTGCAGCGTGTCTGCATGCTTAAGGTATTACATGCACACCACTGTTGAACGACAACTGCATGTCTCTGAAGCAGCAGTTTTATTTTTTTTCTGGCAGTCAGGGTGGCCTGAGAACCCATAAAGGAAAGGTCACAGGTTTGATCTTTGCAGCAGCAATTGGATCCATCTCTGAAGTGCCTTTGAGCAAGACACTAAATCCTGCTGCTTCTTGTGAGTTGTCAGGATAAGAGCACCACACTGTAAAAACTGTACTGTAAATTTGTACTGTGACAGTTTTATTCCTTTTTATTTCACCAATTTTTCCTGTATTTTTGAAATACATGAAAATTTCAGAAAATTACAAAAATAAACTGTGAATTTACATGTCTAATGTAAAATAATATGAAAAACATTTATGTTGTCTTAAGGAAACTTTTTGGGTTTTTCACATAAACAAACTGTTACAATACATTCAGGAATGTCCCGTATTTTCATAAACATTATTTTTCTTATTTAAAAGAAAAAAGGGTTAAATTTAAGTTTAATACTGTAAAAACATTTCTTAAACTTGATACAATTAGTAACAGTTAACTGAAACAAAAAAATTACAGAAAGGTAATATTTAATTTATTGTTAAATGACAGGTGTTCACACCTTTTAATGGGCTTAAAAAAGAAAACTTCCTGTAAAATTACGTGTTTGTGATGCCATTTTACAGATACTTCGATTGAAGAGTTTTAGCTATAGGTGTATTATCAAAACCTAAAACAAACATTATAAAACATATTTAAATCCTGTTTTTTCACAATTAAAAATGACCACATGTTCACATTTTACATTAGAGTAATATATATCCATTTATCCTATAGAGCCTTAGTGGAAGCGATTTTGAACAACAGAAACTCAGCCTTGAAGTGGTAGGCCACATAAAATCCCAGAGCGGGGTCGACACATCTGCAGAAGCTGCCAACTTTCTGCAGAGTCAAGAGCTACAGACCTCCAAATGTCATGTGGCCTTCAGATGAGCTCTAGAAGAGTGCGTAAAGAGCTTCATGGAATGGGTTTCCATGGCCGAGCAGCTGCATCCAAGCCTGCAAGCAATGCAAAGCGTCGGATACATGGTGAAAAGCACGCCGCCACTAAACACTAGAGCAGTGGAGACGTGTTCTCTGGAGTGACGAATCACGCTTCTCTGTCTGGCAATCTGATGGATAAGTCTGGGTTTGGCGGTTGCCAAGAGAATGGTACTGGCCTGACTGCATTGTGCCAAGTTTGTAAAGTTTGGTGTGGGGGTGTTTTTCAGGGGTTTGGCTTGGCCCCTTAGTTCCAGTGAAAGGAACTGTTAATGCTTCAGCAGACCAAAACATTTTGGACAATTTCATGCTCCCCAACTTTGTGGAAACAGTTTGGGAATGGTCCCTTCCTGTTCCAACATGACTGCGCACAAGTGCACAAAGCAAGGTCCATAAGTTGGATAAGTGAGTTTGGTGTGGAGAACTTGACTGGTCTGCACAGTCCTGACCCCAACCCGGCAGAACACCTTTGGGATGAATTAGAGCGGAGAGTGCGACCCAGGCCTTCTCATCCAACATCTGTCCCTGACCTCACAAATGCGCTTCTAGAAGAATGGTCCAAAAGTCCAATGAACACACACACACAGCTGTTTTAGAACAGTATTTTGACGAAAAATCTAGTATTTGCAGGTTTTGAGTAATTTTAAATATATATTGATTACATTAACAAGATTTTTATGTGAAATTATATAATAAAACTCAATTTAAAGCAGCACTCTACTATAAATTTTAAGCCTGATTATTTGTATTATAGCAGTTTTCAACCATATTTAAAGGTAATTTAATTGTTTTTACAGGTGTATATGTTCTTAATTAAACAATAAAAGCCCCCAAAAAGCCCCAATTATGTAAAATTAAAGTTACAGACTGTATTGTCATTATGGAATATTACCATATTTTTACGAGTTGGTTATTTACTGTTATTTTACGGTATTTTCCTGGCGCCCCAGCTGCCGGAATATTTCTGTTTTTTCACTTTTTTTTTTTTAACAGTGCAGCTAAAATACTAAAATGAAAGAAGTTAGCCTGTAGCCAGTACAGTAAAATTGTATGTATAAATGTGTTTGTGCGTTAACATTTTAAACACCCACGGAAAGAGACCCAGAAAATATATCCTGGCAGTTTAGGATCTGCTTTCTGCTGATTGTTTTTCATGTTATTAATGAAGACTTTATAACTGTAATATCGGTTATCTCTGTGTTTTCATGTTAGATGCATTTATCATTTGTGTAGCTACATGTCAAGCAAAGATGCTGTAGGAATATACAGACAGTTAATATGTTAAAAACAAAACTTATCACTCTGCAAAAATGTTTTTCTGTAGTTCCAACAGAGATGACTGAATTGACATACAAGGTTTTAATTTGTTTCCTTCCCCACACATTTAGCAATAATGGAATCCCTCTAGTGACTGTCAGGCTTCCACATTAAGCCTGGTTGTAATTTTTATTTAAATGTTTTGCAGCCACAGCCTTTTTACGGGGTTGGACAGAGTAAACTGTGGCCTGTGGTGAAATTAGAACAAGAGAGACACTTAGTAAGGAGATCTCTTATTGGTATCTGAGGCATGCTGACTCTGTCTGTTTGGCACTACAGACGGGGAATTCAGTCCTGCTTTAAAAGTCA